TTTTTTCTGGATGGTAGTGTCTCGCACCTCCAACGCCTCCTTGGCAGCCCCTAACTCCTCCCTAACAGCATTAGTGGCCTCTGCTAGCACCTCGTACTCCCTTTTCATGTTCCTGAAGGAAGCCAGAGCATCAAGGAACTTCCGACTCTCCTCGATCCAGTCATCGATTTTTGACCGGAGGTCTTCCTTAGTCTTGCTGAGCTCCTCTTGTCTGAACTTGGCAAGGGAAGACTGCTACTCCACTTGCTCTTACAACTCCTTTACCTGGACCTTAAGGTCATTATTCTCAAAGGCCAGATTGGCACACTTCAGCTCAAAAGCTTTGGAAGTATTGGCCGACCCCTCCAGGGGCTTGGATTCGCTTTAACAAGCTGCTTATTTGAATGGCGGTCTGAAGATAAGCACGAAAGATTAGTGTAAAGGGAAAAGCATAGGACTACCAAAAAAAAAAAAAAAGAAGAATTTGACAAATTAGAATCTCACCGAGGTACAGCCATACAGCGTAGTGGAAACACAGGTTCCCAAGGGTACAGAAGTGGCCGCATCAATGTTAGACTCTGGGATAATAGAGGTAATGACCTCTGCAGCACGCTTCACATCGGTAATAAGAGAATTCTCAGACTTCGAGAAGACCCCTTTGCCTGTCATGAGAGGTTGGGAGGTCTCCTTGGTTGATGCAGAAGCAACACGACTAGGGAAAACGCTGGCAGTCTCTAGGGCCCTCTTAACTTCAGATGCAGAAGGGGAGGACTGGTCTTGCCAGGAGCATCTTTAGTGGTAGGTCGGGTCCCTTGGGGGAGAGGAAGTCCTGAGGTTGGTGGAGCATGTAGGGGGGATGGTGGAGCCTTCTAGATAGAGGCAGAGGCAGAGGAAGTACCCATTTTATGAACCTTAGCTCGAGTAATTGGGCTCCTACCAGAACTGCCCTCAGCCTTGCGCTTGGTACCACCCTTATTTTTCTTCTTCAATAGCTCTACCTTAGCTTTGAGCATCTCAGGGGATAGGCTTCATTGTAGAAGACCATGGGAGATTTGGCTTGAGCTAGTTAGTCAAAAGGAAAAAGAAAGGGAGGAAAACAATGAAACCAAATAAGGGAAAGAGCATTACCTTCTATGTCCTCAGGTCAAATAAAGGAAAGTGGGATTGGAGAAGGGCCGAATCCTTGCCTTTCTAATTCTCAGGGCTTAAGGAGCTCAAAGTACCTCTCTAGATTACACTCAGCCAACTTTAGTTTCACCCGCTTGTCATCGGCGCTGAGTTCAAGTCGAATGCCTAAGAAAGGGGGAACACCAAAAATGCAGAGGTCAAGAAAACAACTCATAAATTTTCAAACTGCAGTTCAATCAANTCCCTAACAGCATTAGTGGCCTCTGCTAGCACCTCGTACTCCCTTTTCATGTTCCTGAAGGAAGCCAGAGCATCAAGGAACTTCCGACTCTCCTCGATCCAGTCATCGATTTTTGACCGGAGGTCTTCCTTAGTCTTGCTGAGCTCCTCTTGTCTGAACTTGGCAAGGGAAGACTGCTACTCCACTTGCTCTTACAACTCCTTTACCTGGACCTTAAGGTCATTATTCTCAAAGGCCAGATTGGCACACTTCAGCTCAAAAGCTTTGGAAGTATTGGCCGACCCCTCCAGGGGCTTGGATTCGCTTTAACAAGCTGCTTATTTGAATGGCGGTCTGAAGATAAGCACGAAAGATTAGTGTAAAGGGAAAAGCATAGGACTACCAAAAAAAAAAAAAAAGAAGAATTTGACAAATTAGAATCTCACCGAGGTACAGCCATACAGCGTAGTGGAAACACAGGTTCCCAAGGGTACAGAAGTGGCCGCATCAATGTTAGACTCTGGGATAATAGAGGTAATGACCTCTGCAGCACGCTTCACATCGGTAATAAGAGAATTCTCAGACTTCGAGAAGACCCCTTTGCCTGTCATGAGAGGTTGGGAGGTCTCCTTGGTTGATGCAGAAGCAACACGACTAGGGAAAACGCTGGCAGTCTCTAGGGCCCTCTTAACTTCAGATGCAGAAGGGGAGGACTGGTCTTGCCAGGAGCATCTTTAGTGGTAGGTCGGGTCCCTTGGGGGAGAGGAAGTCCTGAGGTTGGTGGAGCATGTAGGGGGGATGGTGGAGCCTTCTAGATAGAGGCAGAGGCAGAGGAAGTACCCATTTTATGAACCTTAGCTCGAGTAATTGGGCTCCTACCAGAACTGCCCTCAGCCTTGCGCTTGGTACCACCCTTATTTTTCTTCTTCAATAGCTCTACCTTAGCTTTGAGCATCTCAGGGGATAGGCTTCATTGTAGAAGACCATGGGAGATTTGGCTTGAGCTAGTTAGTCAAAAGGAAAAAGAAAGGGAGGAAAACAATGAAACCAAATAAGGGAAAGAGCATTACCTTCTATGTCCTCAGGTCAAATAAAGGAAAGTGGGATTGGAGAAGGGCCGAATCCTTGCCTTTCTAATTCTCAGGGCTTAAGGAGCTCAAAGTACCTCTCTAGATTACACTCAGCCAACTTTAGTTTCACCCGCTTGTCCTCGGCGCTGAGTTCAAGTCGAATGCCTAAGAAAGGGGGAACACCAAAAATGCAGAGGTCAAGAAAACAACTCATAAATTTTCAAACTGCAGTTCAATCAAGCAAGAACTCACCTAAGTTATCTGGGGCTGACCAAGCTCTAGGAATCCCAAGAGTGTCTATTTTATCAGCAGGGTTGTATTCCCAATTGGCACCCCCAACGAAAAAGAAATTATTTTTCCAGCCTTTATGAGAACTCAGGAGGTGTGTGATGATCTGTCTAGACGAGATCCGCCTAGAAACATATAGAAAGCCCTCAATTGAGGTAAGCTTGACATTGAAAAGGTTCATAAGCAGAGAAATGGTGGAAGTCCCAAGCCCATGCTTCTTAAAGAAACTAAAAGACCCCAGAAGTTAGGAGAAAGCTGAGCAGGGCAGACATTGAGGTGTTGTAGAACATTTTTTATGAAGGGATGCATAGGAAAACGAAGGCCATTCTCGAAAGCGGCCACAAAGAAATAAACTATTTTGTGCACTTAGGTAATGTATGAGGTGAGTTTATTCGGGCACCAAGGAAAAAACCAAAACGAGCACTAACAGCTTCCATGAGAATAGGATCCACCCCACTGGGACCCACGAGCTCAGCATGCCTGAAGGCAGCCCCCATACCCACTGTACTATCAGGAATTTCAACCTCACTCAACTTGCCCTTACCCTTGTCAGCACTAGGAGATACATGAGAGGAAGATGAGGGGAGTTCCTTGGAGTTTACCTCGGTATCGACAGCCTCAACACCGGGGAAGTTCTCAATCTCATCACCTACATCCCCTAAATCAGAATCTCTCTCGGCAGACCTGTCGCCTAGGAGGGAAACAGAGGAGGGAGTTACTCCAGAGGAGGCAGACATGATTGGCAAAGAGAAAGGCAAAGAGAAAGAATTATAAAAAGGAGGAATACTAACTAAACACCCCCTGATAATCCTAGGGTCAGCACTGTACCTCCCGACAGTAAGAATTCGTATAGTGGAGTTCCAATCCAAAGCGGGGAAGAGGAGATAGGCAACGATCGCGATTCCAAAAGAAAAAGAACCGAAAAACCCAAAAAAATAATGACCACCTCGAAGTCGAGGGATCCAGAGTGAAGAAAGGCAAGAGAAAGAGAAAGGGGCAGAAGAAAACGTACCTAGACAGGGAAGAGANGTAAGAATTCGTATAGTGGAGTTCCAATCCAAAGCGGGGAAGAGGAGATAGGCAACGATCGCGATTCCAAAAGAAAAAGAACCGAAAAACCCAAAAAAATAATGACCACCTCGAAGTCGAGGGATCCAGAGTGAGGAAAGGCAAGAGAAAGAGAAAGGGGCAGAAGAAAACGTACCTAGACAGGGAAGAGGACAACAAACAACAGCCAAAGAATAAAATTAGAGGAGAGGAACAAAGCAGGACTTCGAGTCGAACCCAGAAAGCATAGTCTAGAGCAGAGAATAAGGGAATCGCGTGGAGGAAAGCCCAAAAATCATAGAGAGAAAGAGCCAGAGACGAAGGTGAACAGCGTAGAAGATGAATGGTGATTTTGTACGTTTTCTTTTAGCCGTTTTGAGCATTTAAGGCTTGAAAGACATTGGATGAGACGTACGCGGGAAACAAGGGAGCCATGACTGCTGCCACCGTCAAAAAGCCAATCCCACGTGCATCTCACATGCAGGCTAAGGTCAGCTAGGCACAGGTTTGATCTAAGGTAAAAGCAGCTCAAGGGCCGAGGGGGCAACTAATGATACCTCAAAATAAATCTCAAATGCCAGCTCAGGAGGTCAACTCAGTCTAGGAGGTCAAACTAAATGAACAGAACTCGGAAGAGTAGAGTTGGATGTCCCTTCGAGATAAGTAAGGGCAATAACAACCAAGACAACAGCTGAAAGATCACGAGAGGTTCCTAAAAGCGTTAAGAAGCTATAATCAAGACATCTAATCGCAACCAACCAAGATCTTCTCCTAGAATTAGGGAGAATCTCATGAAGTAAGGACAAGAATCTCAGTCAAGATCCCACTTAGCGGGGAATGACCTTATAAATGCACTGTAACATCTCCTAACAAGGGAGAGGACCCTAGTGGCAAGAGGAAGTCATATCAACTTTGTAATCATCGTGAATAAAATAGAAGAAGCAAGAACCTCCATTGAAGAGTAGACTAGTCGAACTCCTGAGCCGGTGGTGAACCATTATATTTTTATTGTGTGTACCCATTAATTCTCTGAATATTTTATCAGTTAGCATCATATATGAGTCTCATAACTCTGATCCACGCTCACCTCACGTTACTTTCACCTTAAACTCTTTCACGTTGGTATACACCGTCAGGTTTCAACCTTAACTTATTTTATTTTTTAGTTTTTTGTACAAAAAACACACAATAATCCACCCGACAAAACTTAACACGCGCATAGAAAGAGGGACCCAAACCAATTCTTCTTTTAACCTTAACTTCATCGTGAAGAAAATTCTAGAACCACACTTTTTTCAATCTTACACTTCTATCGTGTCTCTCTCTCTCTCTCTCTATATATATATATCTATATATAATGGCCCTTTGTGTTTGCTCCTTCATATTAACCTGGAGAAGAGAATGGCAGCAAACGATGATGGTGTTGATGTGGCGGTAGCGGAGGAAACAACCCACGATCTCCAATCTCTCCTCTCTTCTTCGCAGAGAGACTACCTTGTTCGGAATAACGGTGATCAGGTATGAAGCATTTTTCTATGTTCAAATTGCTTTCTTCTTTGTTGTGAAAATTGGTATTTGGTACGTTGTGTATCCATTTTGGGTTGTGCACTTGAAGGAATGTATTTATATGCATGGGATTATGGAGTCACTATCAACAGTGACAACTTGAGTTTTTTTATGTTTTCTTTCAATTGTATAAAAATTAAGTGTTCAATCAGTCGATTTAATATGGAAGTTAGATTTTAGGAGATAAAATAATCCTGGGGATTTGCAATTTGATAAAATAATCCTGGGGATTTGCAATTTGCAAACGTTTAGTGTTGTAGACCCTTATCTGTTTGACTGATTGACCCTCTATTTAACTTAGTATTATTTTATTAATCATGTTTAGAAAATTATGCATATCGAGCACATGAGTGTGTGTCTGCTCAGAAATAAACTCCCATGTACACCAGTTTTGGTCGTTTCTTAGGAGTTCTTTCAAGTTGGAAAATTGGGGGTTTTGTGAAAGTTGGGAAATTTTTATGGTTGATTATCTCGTTGAAAAAAACTATGAACTCTAGATGAATCTTAGGAAAATTGGACTCCGACTTCTGTTTTTTGGTTTCTAGTGAATTGGGCTAATTTTAGTTGGTTACAAATTGAACTTGGTATTTCGTAATTTGGCGATTGAGGATGATATGGGGTACATGATATTAGCCGATTTAGGCCTGTTCAAGCTGTCAGTGATGAGTTAAGGTTGCTAGAATCTTGGGGAAATTAAAATTTTTTTTTTCTTTTATTGTTTCGGGTTAATTTCAGTTTGTTGATAACTTGATATTCAACAGGGAATTTGGTGACTTGAGCAACTAAGCATTGCGAGTAAAAACATGATTGTTTATTGAGTCCATTGGTATGACGCTGTGACTTTGGTAACTTGGCGACTAATTGTTAGTAAAATTCATATTTGTGTAGAGTTTTAATTATCAGTGAAGTGTGCCTCTGCGTAATCTGATGTCTCTGGAAATGGTGGAAGTTAGTTGGTTACACGAGGAGCAATTAGGACACTGAAATTAAATTTCTTCCCTTGATGTGCCTAGTTTTAATTTGATTTTGTATTTTGATCCTGTTAAGATGAGCTGATGTGCTCAGTTTTCATTCAATGCTAATTTTATATAGAGTAGCTGAAGGTAAACTGTTTTAAACTCCAAAATTTGCAGGTTAAAATAGACACTTTGAAAGGGAAGAAGGTTGGGATATATTTCTCAGCATCATGGTGTGGCCCATGTCAAAGGTTCACCCCCAATTTGGTGGAGGTTTACAATGAACTGCTCCCCAAGGGTGATTTTGAGATCGTATTTGCCTCAGCTGATGAAGATGATGATTCATTTGACAAGTATTTCTCCAAGATGCCTTGGCTTGCAGTTCCATTCTCTGATTCTGACACGCGTAGGCGCTTGGATGGAACGTTCAGCGTGATGGGAATACCTCACCTTGTAATCCTTGATGGAAATGGTAAGGTTTTGACCGATGGTGGAGTTGAGATCATCGGGGAATACGAGGCAGAAGGGTACCCTTTTACCCCAGAACATGTCAAACAAATTAAAGAGGAGGAAGCAGCAGCTAGGAGGGATCAATCCTTGAGATCTGTCTTAGTCTCACGCACACGTGACTTTGTAATATCAACTGATGGGAGGAAAGTGAGTTCCAATTTCAGATCCTTCAATTTTTATTTTTTTATTTTTTTATTTTTTGCTTGTTAGATCCTTCAATTAATATACTTGCAATTTAGCATTTGTTTTTTCACATTAATTGATGTTCTCTACATTTCTGCCATATACTTATAGTAGGTTGTTTACAATTTATGTGGAAGGTTCCTGTTACTGAACTTGAGGGGAAGATTGTGGGCCTCTATTTCTCATTACCTACATACCGTGAATGCACAGAGTTTACGCCAAAACTCATTGAAGTTTATAAAAAGTTGAAGGCAAAGGGAGAGAACTTTGAAATCATAATGATACCCCTTGATGACAAGGAAGAACCATTCAAAGAAGGGCTTGGAAGTGTGCCTTGGTTTTCACTGCCCTTCAAGGACAAGAGCTGTAAGAAGCTGGTTCAGTACTTTGAGCTCTCAACCTTTCCTACTTTGGTCATCATTGGGTCTGATGGGAAGACTCTGCATTCTAATGTTGCTGAAGTTGTAGAACAACATGGCATGCTCGCATACCCTTTTACACCTGAAAAGTTTGCTGAGATTGAGAAGATAGAAAAGGAGAAGAGGGAAGCACAAACGCTGGAGTCGATTTTGGTTTCAGGAGATCTCAACTTTGTAATTGGAAAAGATGGAGTGAAGGTAAGGTGCTTATAGGTCTTGTTGGAGGCCATGTACTACCATAAACAATGCTGCCCTTTCTGGATTTTTGGGTGTTATATGACTGTTTTGGAAAATTGTTTTTAGGATCTTGGCTTAAGATGTGCTTTCTTATACGGAATTACAGGAATAGTTTGTCATATGATTCGCGAAATCCCTTTTCCCTTTTTCCTGCGCATCTCTCTGTTTTATTGATGATACCTGATAAAATTTTCTCTTTGCAGATTCCCATCGCTGATCTTGTTGGGAAAAATATCCTCCTCTACTTCTCTGCACATTGGTGTCCTCCATGCCGAGCTTTTCTGCCTAAACTTATTGAAGCCTATCATGAGATTAAGGCAAAGGATGATGCAGTTGCAGTGATTTTCATATCAAGTGACAGAGACCAATCTGCATTTGATGAATTCTTTTCTGGAATGCCATGGCTAGCACTTCCCTATGGTGATAACAGGAAGGGATCTTTGGGTCGCCTATTCAACGTTCGCGGCATCCCTAAGCTAGTTGCAATTGGGCCAACTGGCCGAACCGTGACAACTGACGCCAGAGAACTTATTATGTTACATGGGGCTAATGCCTATCCCTTTACAGAGGAGCGTATAAAGGAGATTGAGGCGCAGTATGAGGAGATGGCAAAGGGGTGGCCTGAGAAGGTGAAGCATGCACTCCATGAGCATGAGCTTGCACCCACTCGACGTAGGGTTTATACATGTGATGGGTGTGATGAGGTGGGAAATGTGTGGGCATTCAGCTGTGAAAAGTGTGACTTTGATCTCCACCCAAAATGTGCTTTGGAAGAGGACAAGGGAACCAAGGAAGGAGCTGAGGAGGCAGCTGAGAAAGAACAGGAACCCAAAGAAGGATGGATTTGCGATGGAGAAGTTTGTCACAAACCTTAAGAAGTCTCTGTTCTATATATTACCTTAGTGTTCCATCCTCTTCTTGCTTTCATGGCTGGTTATGCTATAAATAAACAAGGCCTGTATAATATAGATTCCTAAGCTTTGAAGACGTCCTCTGTTAATCACTTGAATGTAGTAAAATATCAAGTGATGAAGTACTTATGTTTATGTATAAGCTTTGCTATATATGAAGTGGTGAATATTTTCTATTTAGTAAAAGAAAGAACTTTATTACTTTCAGAGAATGCTTACTCTGCGCGAGAGGTCAAGATTATGAAGGCATAGATCCAATGTCTAGACGGGGTCTATGAATGAGACCACAGTGAGATTTTGTGTATAATTGTAAAGTAAAACCATTATCTCTGCATTATCAGGTGGACTTTGATTTTGTATAGTTTCACTGGAATTTACGATGACATGATTTATTATTTAGAGAAATTGAGATAAATTATATTAGAGATGACGGAAATTAATCCCAAATGAGAGTCATTTTTACACTGACAAATTGAGATGAAAAAAGATAGTTAGCGTGATAAGTTATAAGAATTTGACTTTAGGTACTGGATCTTACAACTTTTGTGGTTTATTATATAAGTTTTTNGATAAATTATATTAGAGATGACGGAAATTAATCCCAAATGAGAGTCATTTTTACACTAACAAATTGAGATGAAAAAAGATAGTTAGCGTGATAAGTTATAAGAATTTGACTTTAGGTACTGGATTTTACAACTTTTGTGGTTTATTATATAAGTTTTCGGGTCTAATTCTATATCAAAAAAATTAGGATCGATTTTTAAAAAAAATATATTTTTTTGAGGTTATATGATAACTTTTTTTATGGTTAAGTTATTATTTTTGAGGGGTTAAGTTAGTTTTTGTGGGTTTACGATTGATCCTAACAATTTTAGGATCAATCACAAATATTTAGAATTAAACACAAGAATTCTAAAAATTAAAAAAAAAAAAAAGTATATGATATCAAAATTTTTTTTGATACCTAGCATTATCGTAAGTTAAAATATTCAACAGAAGNGTGGGTTTACGATTGATCCTAACAATTTTAGGATCAATCACAAATATTTAGAATTAATCACAAGAATTCTAAAAATTAAAAAAAAAAAGTATATGATATCAAAAGTTTTTTTTGATACCTAGCATTATCATAAGTTAAAATATTCAACAGAAGGAAAGTCAAGTTGAAGTATTCAACGGAAGAAAAGTATTTGTTACTATTTTCTGGGGAAAAAAAGTACTTATAAAAGAAAATTCATGTACCAAAATAAGTCTCATGGTTAATGTAATAATTTTAAGAGATTAATTCAATAAATTAGATTCAAAAAGTCATTACTGTCTCTTTAGAGATATACTTTAATTCACCTTAAATCATAATCTCCAATCACTGAATTCTAGAAAATAATGGATGCAAGCCTTCGTACATACGGTATAACAAAATTACAAAAAAAACACATTTGGCAATTCAAAAAAAAAAGANTTCATGTACCAAAATAAGTCTCATGGTTAATGTAATAATTTTAAGAGATTAATTCAACAAATTAGATTCAAAAAGTTATTACTGTCTCTTTAGAGATATACTTTAATTCAACTTAAATCATAATCTCCAATCACCGAATTCTAGAAAATAATCGATGCAAGCCTTCGTACATACAGTATAACAAAATTACAAAAAAAAAACATTTGGCAATTCAAAAAAAAAAAAGGAAGTCCATGTAAATATTATTCGATTTCACCACATTACAAGAGAATTGGTTCAAATTCAGAGACAGTTGCACGTGCAGAAGGGTGGATCAAGTGCCACAACTGCTCTTCCCGAACACGGAAGAAGAAAAAAGATAGATCCTGATGTCCAGTGATAACTTTTCAGCTTATTAACATAAAAGTTCTGGGTTCTTTTTCACAGCCAAATCCAAGTAGAACGAATAGTCTGCACATAAATCATTCCAGTAAGTGACTTTGCTCTCTGAATATCTGCAATAATATTAACTCTATGAATGNTGATAACTTTTCAGCTTATTAACATAAAAGTTCTGGGTTCTTTTTCACAGCCAAATCTCAAGTAGAACGAATAGTCTGCACATAAATCATTCCAGTAAGTGACTTTGCTCTCTGAATATCTGCAGTAATATTAACTCTATGAATCTATTCTCCGTAGATCTATTTCTATTTTTGTTTTCTGGGTCTTATTTTTCTCCATGGTTCTCTGTAATTAGTTTATCTTTGCATGCTCATGTCAATTCATTGCAATTTGTTTTTGATTCTGGTGCTTAATGGGTGTTTAGTTGAGTCGAAGTTTATGCGTGCTTAATAGTCTGCAATTTGTTTTTGATTCATTGCAATTTTCTTTTCAGTAAGATTTTTTTATTCTAACTTACCGGAGAAAAAAAAAAATCTTTATTCTAGCTGGAATATATGTCTGGAGAGCTTATTGCAAATCATTTGATTTGGGTCGAGTANTTGTTTTTGATTCATTGCAATTTTCTTTTCAGTAAGATTTTTTTATTCTAACTTACCAGAGAAAAAAAAAAATTCTTTATTCTAGCTGGAATATATGTCTGGAGAGCTTATTGCAAATCATTTGATTTGGGTTGAGTAGTTTCTTTCTTTCTCTTTTTTTTTTTTTTTGTGTGTGTTTTGGGTTGTAATATGTGCATATTTTGGATGTAATGGGGTGGTTGGGTTTTGTGGCATTGGATTGATACTTGCTTCTCCAATGCCAAACCCTTACCCAAATTTTAGTTAAAAAAATGGTAAAAAATTTGATTTGGTATTGACCTCTTTAATTGGGAAATCCAAATTTAAAGGAAGAGAAATCCAAATTTAAATGAAGAGAAATCTAAATTTAAATGAGGATACAATATGACCATTGAATTTTTAAAGAAGGGTGTAATCTCACTATTAAATATTTGGATTTTAAAAAAAGTTTTCCTTCATTTGGTATGGGTATGAGTCTAATATTGGAGAAGCATTTTAGATCATTTTTACCCAAATTTAAATTTGGGTACAAAAAAGGGTAAGGGTTATAATGTAGGGATGGCATTCTGGCTTGAGGACATTTGTGGCTATATTAATGTTAAAAAGGAATGTTTTGATTTTGTCATAAATGGTTTGTTCACTTGGATAATATGCTTGGAATGTTATGGGCGGTCTTTCTTCTCTATGATCCACTTTTCATTTGTCTCTTGCTCATCCTTGTTGTCAGGCATTGAAATTGAACTCTGAACAACAGATGATATACCTAATGAAAGGTGGTTATCATATTTAGTCCATTCTGATGCATTGATCATCTATTAATCTTGTATGATTGTGCTCAACATGTTGAAGCCACCTTTTCAGTAAGAAATCATAATGCAACTAGTTGTGGCTTGTCAAGTACAGACACTCGGGAGAAAGGTGAGCAAAAACCTTCTTAAAACAGCCACTACTATGAAAAAATGGCAAAACCCTGTCAAGAAACATGCTCTTATCCGTGTTATTGATGTTTTGCTCTCAGTTACTATTGAATGATGACAGCTTTTGCCAAATACCAACACAAGATACTCTGCAATAAAATGCCACTTTCTGTTGATATCAAACTCACTTATTTGTGTTGTGGAAAAACAGTAGTTTTGGAAGAAGAATGTTATTCTATGCCTCTACTAAACTCTCTGTAGATTAGCATCTGTGCTTAATTTAGGCTTCAATGGGTGGTGATGAAGTGACGAAAGTGAGCATAGACATCCAAAATACTGACCACAATAAACATCCGGATGTGAATGTTCCAGCATTGAATACCTTTTTAGTGAATCTCCCTGGGAAACTTCAAAAGTATGTAAAGGTAAGACATTTTTTTCCCCTTACGTAGGAACTGGAAAAGAAAGGTGGGACATTTGTTTGCAGCCTGTAATTAGTTCATGGATGTTTGAGTTGGGAGTGACACTTTCTTTTCCTGAACTGTCAGTTACCTTTCAAGAAGTCTACAAAAGAAGATGACGGGACAAACTCAGCATTCCCCTTAGCGAGGGATAAAGAGTCATCTGCTATCTGGGAGGTCAACCTAGAGAAGCAACTTCAGACTTGGAGAGAGAATCCTGTTTGGGATGATCAATCCCCAGATATAAAAGTAAGGAAATGCTAAGCAGTATATATTGATGCGTGCTATTTTTTAAGCAGCGGTGATTAGACTCTTCTAAATTTGCCATACACCTGGACTTTGTCAATGGCAAATCTGCGTGTGATGAAAGTCGGTAGAAAGGTGAATAGTTTATGCATCTTAATCTTGTTTGTCACTATTTTGATATTATATAACATGGAATAATCCTAGTGCAATTCTATTTCTTCGACTTATAGCATGCTCATGTAGGATTAAATCTGATGGAGGTCATGTAGATCATCACATACTAACAATACCACTAATAGTCTAGGACCATATTGATTAATTAACTTGCTGAGATGGATCCATCACAACTTCAAGGGATGCCCATTATGTTGCATTTTGTAGGTAACATCATCTGATAAAGTCAACATTGCTGAGTGTATGTATCACGAGGTCAACAAAATCTTAATATTTAAATCAATGTAATTCCTGCAGGTCAGTGTACCAAAAGGCTCTTTTTGCAACCTGAATGTGAAAGTCAATGTTGGATTGCCCCCAGATGCAGTATACAACATCGTCACAGATCCTGATAATAGGAGGGTCTTCAAAAATATCAAGGTTTACTGAATGTCTATCAAAAATGGTCATCTGATCATCATGTCTCCCATTTTTTTCCCTTGTGACTTCTCTCAGTCTCTTGTTCAATCATGGTTTTGATGGTTTATCTCCAAGTATTTTTGTTGGCAGTATTTTCCTTGTATTGAAAATCAGCATTGCATTTATTGTCACTCTGATTATACAATATCAATGTTTCTAGGAAGTACTATCCAGGAGGGTCTTGGTTGATGAAGGCTCAAGGCAGGTGGTCGAATTGGAACAAGCAGCACTATGGAAGTTTCTTTGGTGGTCAGGGACCATCTCAGTTCATGTTTTGGTAGATCAGAACAGAGAAGATTACTCGGTAAGGACTAATCATTTGTCAGTGTAAAGGTTACTTTCAGAAAATGACTTCATTTTAGTTAGAAGTCCTTTCCCCTAAGCAATGGAGTAGAGTGGGGACAGAGGAGATGGCTGTTGAGTGGAAACCATGAACCTTATATGAAAGTTGCGACATTTCAAGGTGGCTCTTCCATGTTGACACTGGTTGCAGGTTGCAATTTGTCAGTTTGAGTAGTGAACCAAACTGACCTCACTGGATCGGTTTGGCTCACTTTGCAATAAGTTTGTTGTTTTCTGAGTACAAGATGAACAGACTGTGGTTCACTTGCATAAACAACTGGATTATACATCTGAGTCTGACCCTTATAAATTATAATACTCCCATTTCCGTTATGCATTATTTTAGAGTTTATTCTGAATGAAATACCTTGCTTTATATAATTTCAATGCATTTAAGGGACAACTATGGTGAAGCATCTCTAGTTGCACATATTATGCCTTTGGTTTTGTTTTGTTCTCACCAATCTCACATTCTTATTTGTTTAACCATGGCCCCCCAAATATTCATTTACTCCAATTTGATTTCCTTCTCATTTTCTGCTGCTGTCGCATTATTTTTGCTGCACTTCTTTTCCAATTCTGTTTAGTTTTTAATGATTATCCTCTCCATAAATCACTCCGTCACTCTGGTATTCGTTTGTAGGGCCAGGTGATATGCTATAACCCTTTTGTAGCAATCAGGTTACTCCCTCCCTCCTCTTTCCCCTCCCACTTTCCTTATTTTCCTCCTCTTGCTGGGAATCATCATGTTTTGGTTTTAGATGTACGGATGGGTTTTTTTGGATCTATTCTATAATTGGTCCACTGCTGCTGATTGTGAATTTTGTTGCTTCTCTAAGAGTCCAAGACGCTATTGTGATGAATGGAAGGGGTGTTTGGAAGAGCATCCATGTCCCCCAACAAAAGCAAAGAATTTTTTTTCAAAAAGATAAGCTACATTAAATCTCACCTAATTGTTATAGCTATGGATAGTGATAATGCTAAGAGAGCTTGTATCCCACATTGAATGATTAGGACCACCCATGGTTATTTGAGGGGATACTCGCTCTACTCATTGTCAATTGATTTTGGGCCGGATGCTCTAATATAGTATCAGAGCTGAGCCTTGCATGGTCAGTTGGTCAAGTCTCTTACATTTAAATTTTCTAGTATGCATGGTTTTGTGTTTATTTGTTAGCCCCACGTGACAGCCCAGGTCTCACGTGGGGGNTTACATTTAAATTTTCTAGTATGCATGGTTTTGTGTTTATTTGTTAGCCCCACGTGACAGCCCAGGTCTCACAGGGGGTGTTAAGGGAGCTTGTACCTAATATTGAATAATTAGGACCACCCATTGTTGGTTTATATATTTGAAGGGCTACTCCACTCATTGTCAATTGGTTTTGGGTTAGGTGCTATAACTGAAAAATCATGTGTTAGAAGTTGATGTCTTTTAGCTGAAGCTTTAATGCTTTTTTTGTCCTTGTTGCTCACTTTGTCAGATGAAATTCAAGCAAGTGAAAACTGGATTTATGAAAAGATTTGAAGGTTGTTGGCGAGTGGAACCTTTATTTGTTGATGAAAAATCATGTCTCCCCTGCAAACCTAAAACTTTGGGGGACTACGTTTCGTGCACCAAAGGCAAAGGAAGAATTGGGTCAAAGGTGAGCTTGGAGCAACTCCTCCAACCCTCTCTTGTGCCTCCCCCACCCATTTCCTGGTATCTCCGGGGAATCACCACAAGGACCACTGAGATGCTGATATATGATTTGCTTGCTGAAGCTGCCAGAATTAGGGGAGTTTATAGCACTGAAAACTCAAAAGGAGAGCTTGGAGTATCTGAGGGATTATCGGATGAATGCCAAGTAAATAAGTTGTGTGACATTAAAGAAAGATGGGCCTTGCGAAGAAGAAATGCAAAGCAATGTCATAAAAAGGTTGCATTCGTGAAATCAGTCACTTGTTAATTTGTGCATGCTCCAAAGGTCTTCATACGTACATTGGGTTTATAGGTGATAGTTATGCTGTCAAGTTATATAAGATGTTTTTTCCTTAATTGAGGAGGGTTTCAAGGCCTGTTTTCTCTCATTTTGTCTATGAGATGCATTGATTTGCTTCAGTGAAGAGTTTAGCTGAGAAGGTTTCACTTGAATGGAGGGGACTTGGTTTTTCCTATTGATGGTCGCTCTCTCTCTCTCTCTCAGGATGGTTTTTGTTTTGGGTTAATCATTTCTGGTTATATGGGTCATGCACTCTGAAATCTTGCAAGGCAATGGACTCGTTCTCTTTATCTTGTCAAGGTATAAAGACATTGAATGGATTGATACTGATCTTTAGTTATTTTCTAATTCTTTTTTTTTGGGTCAAAAGTTATTTTCTAATTCAAGTACATCGTATTTAGAGACATTTCGATAAGAGCAACTAGTTTGGGTTTTTTATTTTTATTTTTTCTTTTGGGATGAAACAAAAGTGTGTGAAACTCGCGGTTAATTGAATTTTGCTGTTAACAATATAGTTTGCTTCGAAAGTAGCTCACCAAAATATGTCGGCAACCGGAAACAAATGACAATTCCACTTGTTAGGTCTAGTTGACAATTTCAATAACTTTTATCATTGCTAGGTAATAATGGGCTGAGGATCCTTGACTATTAAAAAATTAATAGCAGAGGTATTGTTTATTAAAATAATATCATTTTTTTATTAAAAAGAATGTAATTTTGTTAAATAAAATGTTATCGTTTTAATCAACATCATCTTTATTATTTAAAATTAACGGAGGATCTGGGAGATTGATACAACACAATGGGCATTTCAGCCTGAAAGAAGTGATAGGGCAGCAAGGTATGATCACAAACATTGTTTAGACGAGTATTTCGTGACATCAGAATCAACTTCCCTAAAAACCCATCCACCTGATATCACAATTTATGAAGTAAAAACATAAGTTAGCCCTACTGGTTTTGACTTGTTCGTCAGCAATAGGGCAATTGTTATGAAGTGAAGGTACTTTTTTTTTTTTTTTTTT